TCTTTTTGATAATCTATGGGTGAACTATTATAGCCTTCTGTATGCTTGTTGCATATAGAAGAGCTACTACTAAACGAATCTGACCCTAAGAATAAGCCTTAGAACTAAAATTGGAAAAAAGTGTAAATAAAACCTATTTAACCCCAGAACAAAGATGGAAAGCAAGAAAATTCCTAAATAATGAAAAAACTATTTTTGCATGTGATACCAACAATCTAGGTCAAACCAACCTGATGATACATAAAATCAACACAGGAAGTGCAACTCTGATTAAGCAAACTCGCTATAGAGCTACCTCCAGTATATGTGAATTTATCAAGAAAGAGGTTGAATGATTAAAGCAAAAGGGTTTATTGAAAAATCCAAAAGCCTCTGGGCCTCTCTGATCATTATTATTTCCAAAAAGTATATATGCATTAATTATCAGAAGTTGAATACTATTACAAAAAAAGGATGCTATTTCCTCTCCAGAATTGACGAATTGCTAAAAGTATTTAGCTGTGCCTCCTGGTTCTCTATACTGGATTTGATATTGGGTTACTGGCAGGTGAAAATAAAGAAACAAGACTCTGAGAAAACTGTGTTCATAACCAAGTCAGGTATCTATGAGTTTCTGGTAATGCTGTTTAGCTTTTGCAATGCTCCTGCTACCTTCTAGCATTTAATGAATCATATGCTAGCAAAGTATATTGATAAGTTCATTATCATATACCTTGACAACATTATCATTTATTTCTCCTCTTTTGAGGATCATTTGAAACAACTGATGATTATTTTTAATAAGTTGTGCAATGTTGAACTTAAGCTGAACGTGGATAAGTACTTCTTTTTTAGGCTTCATTTACAGTTTTTAAAGCATATAGTTGGTCATAATGGTGTTCATTTTGAAGAGAATAAATTAGATAAAATAAAGCATTTTTCTGCTCTAGTAAATCTGTGCCAACTTTGTGAGTTCATAGAATTAGCTTCTTATTATCAGAAGTTTATTCCAAAATTCACTTCGATTGCTTGCCCCTTCACTACTTATTAAAAAAAAGATACTAAATATGAATAGAAAAATGACCAAGAAAGTGCTTTTAATAACCTGAAGTAGTATCTTCTTAATGCATCTATTTTATAATACCCAAACTTTAGCAAAACCTTTATTTTTATACTAATGTTTCTGGATCAGGCCTTGATACTATTTTGGCACAGAAAGATGATCTTAAAAAAGAGTACATTGTTGTATTCACAAATAGGAGCTTTATAAAGGCTAAGCAAAACTATACTACCACCAAATTGGAGTGCCTTGCAGATCTTTGGGCAATCAAATATTTTCATTATTATTTTGGCCTTGACCTGTTTGTTGTTGTAACCAATCATGCAGCTTTGAAGAGGCTTCAAACTATAGAATTAATTAATCATCATACTCACAGGATATTACAGATACAACTATATAATTTCAGGATACAGTACTGCTGTAATCACATATACTGTTAACTTGTAGTTTTTACTATTACCACAGCAATAACAGAAGCTGTTTAACTATAGTATGATGACTATAACTTGACAGATTCTATACAAAGTCTACACAAGACTTAACAATATACAGAGTGATTTGGGATTTTAAGGCAGAGGCAACAATAGATAGTATATGAAGATACTAAATA